GATGCATAAGCAGCTTATACGGCCTGCTTTGTGTGTCCCACTGTAGAACAAATTTAGTGTGACACCACTTGAGTTGTCTTGGCTCAATGTTATGGAATTCTGTATTTTGTAGTTTAGTGAGACACCAGGACTCTTTGGCAAAGAAGGCTAAAGTCCTTACAGAAGTACAACACACATGATCCCACAGCATTGAGTCATGGCAGTTTAAGCATTTATTATCCAGCGTAGATGCATTTCCTTGTCTACATGGTCAGGGATTGTCTAGATCTATAGCAGAAGTTACCAAGCAAATAAAATGTGAGCATGATACGGGCAGTTTAATCTCTGGAAAGTTTCTTGGATCCAGATTTCAAAGCACTAGGGTTCCTTCTACACTGCCATATAATCCAGATTATCAAAGCAGATAATTCACATTATCTGCTTTAAACTGGATTATATGGGAGTGTAGATTCATATAATCCAGTTTAAACCAGATACTGTGGATTAACGGTTTTGATAATTTGGATTATATGGCAGTGTGGAAGGGGCCTTATGGTTAGCACTCCCGCCCTAGAAAGACCAGGATGGCCCCATCCCTGCTTGCCTTTCACAGACTTCTGTGAACATACCTCTATAATCAGGCATTTAATGAATGATGAGGGCCAAGGTGCTGGGAATGTTTTTTTCTTGGGGGGGGGGGGGCTGTCTAGTGTTTAAATGTCATTTTAATTGTATTTTAACTTTTGCAATTATGACAGAAATATTTAATTATTTTTAATGTTTGTATTCATATCTAGATGTATTAGCCTTATTTGAAATGGTATTGTATTGTGTCACGTCACTGTTAGTCACCACAACTTCCTACGGGAAGAAAAGTGGGATGAAAATAAAGCAAATAATACTAATGCTATGAATAATTTTAAAACAAGGTATTCTGGGTCTACCAAAGCAAATTGTGTTTGCTAAGAATGTGTAACAATTAAGGGATGACTAGGTCTTGGAAGTAAGCTGATACTGACTATACAGATACGAAGCAATGGACTAGGATTCTGTGCTACTTCAGAAGCTGCTGAAATAAAAAACCCATCATCCCCAAGTTAGTTACATTGGGAATTGGAAGTCTAGTGACATCAGGAAAGTGAAACCTTCACCTGAGCTCTACTGGATGGCCCATCATTGAACTGAAGGGCTGACAAACCCAACACTTTGGATAGTTCAGTGATGAGGATGATTAGGCCTTCCAGATGTTGCTGAGTCTCTCCTCTCAGCATTCCTCATCATTGCGTATGCTGGCCAAGGCCATGGCGGGCTGAGGTCCAACACCTGGAGGATCACCCAATCCTGACCTCCACTGCTGGTAAGAAGATAATAACAGTGTTGTAGGAAGTCGAAACACTTCATAGCTGTGCTGTTTTTAATGTAGTAGCCTTGCAAAACTACAATCAATTCAGACAGCGCTTATCTGGTCTGCATGTGAAACTCCCCATCTCCACCCAGGCACAAATCCATCAAAGAGAGCCATTAAAGATAAATCCCTGTCATCAGGACTTTAAGCTTCCCTAGGGGAGAAAAGATATCTATTTCTCCACCTCCTGTCTTAATTCTAGGGCTCGGGAAATTAAATGTTTAAGACAAACGAATAGAGGAAAAGGCTGAAGCCATTTGTAACAAGATGAAGAGCTTGAACTCAATGCTGCTCCGTTATGGATGGTTTATCATGGGTGTATCTACACTGTAGAATGAATGCAGTTTGATACCACTTTGGCTGCTTTGGCTCAGTCTTATAGAATCCTGGGAGTTGCCATTTTAAAGGTTTCTAGCCTTCTCTGTCAAAGAGTGCTGGTGCTACAAGAAGTTACAATTTCTAGGATTCCAGAACACTGAGCCATAGCAGTTAAAGAAGTGTAAAACTGCATTTATTTTACAGTGTAGATGCACCGTTCCCATGTTGTTATAGCCACATTTCCAAGCTTGACATCAATATGTACCAGGCTTTGAGATATTAAATTAAAAGATGGCAATAAACTCATCTGTTTCAGACAAGGCACACCACGATTTATGAGCTTTAGAGGCCTGTTCAATACTTTACTGCTTATATAGCAAAGGGATGAATTGCTTCTCTGTTCTCCAGGGCCCCCGAGAAATGTAATGCACAATAAAACTGACATCTAGAATAGAACGTATTTATTTATGTATTTATTAAGAGTCCTTACATCACACACTTCAGCCATAAAGACTCTCAGAGAGGCTTACCAATTGTTAATTTGACAGCTCCCACTTATCTATCTTGCAAGCCCTCTTTGAAAATATAGAAAATCAGAGAAAGAGAAACAAATTCACTTCATTCCAAGAGGTAGGAAGTGGTGGATCCGAGGGTTTTCGATCCCCTCCCCTAGATCAGTGGTTCTCAACCTTCCTAATGCCACAACTCCTTAATAAAGTTCCTCATGTTGTGGTGACCCCCAACCATAACATTATTTTCATTGCTACTTCATAACTGTAATTTTGCTACTGTTATGAATCATAACATAAATATTCTGATATGCAGGATGTAGTTTCGTTGGTAAAAATGGAACATAATTCAAGCATAGTGAACACAAAAACAATATGTAATTATATATGGCTGGAGAAAGGAAGGGAAAGAGGGAGGCAAGTGAAAGAAAAAGGAAAGAGAGGGAAGGAAAGGGGGAGAAAGAATGGAAGAGAAAGGAGGAGAGAAAAAAGAAACCTGGACCCAAAGGAGGCAAAGTGAGCAACTCCCTGTGAATAGTTGCGACCCACAGGTTGAGAACTGCTGCCCTAGATCAAAGCTTGGTGGTGATCTACTGGATCCCATTCTGGGATCTCTAATTGGGTACCACCAAGAGGTACTTTTTAATCATTTGTTAGCTCACAAGCATTCTTGCCTCCATCCAAAATAAACTAGAGGCTAGGATTGTAGGTATGACAATTAACACTGTGTGTGTGTGTGTGTATACACACACAATAAAAAGATATAAACAGAAACAGTCCTCACATTCACTGGAGTTGCAGCAGGCATGGGCAACTTTGGCCCTCTGGGTGTTTTGGACTTCAACTCCTAACAGCCTCAGGACCATTCATTTCCCAACCTATGGTCCGTGGACCACCAGTAGTCCACAAGAATGAAAATATGGTCCGGGGAAAGGAAGGCTGTTAGGAATTGTGGGAGTTGAAGTCCAAAACACCCAGATGGCTGAAGTTTGCCCATGCCTGAGTTAGGGGCACAAGGACCCCCTGAAAGTGAGAAGTCAAGAAAAAAGAAATTGTCACACTGGAGGATGTAGATATTCCTAGAGAGGATAAATATCTGAATAACCGAATCCAGAATTAAAGCCGCATATGTGGAGGTCAAAAAGCCTGAGAGTTGTGCTGCTTTTAGCAATATCATAAAAAGAAGACTAAACCTTGAAAGCGATGCAGAGATTCAGACAGCCTCTCTTACAGGCATGAAGGAGAGGACCCATCACAAGAAACACAAGATGCATCTACACTGTAGAAATAATGTACTTTTGACCTCACTTTAACTGCCATGGCTCAGTGATATGAAAATCATGGGAGTTTTACAAGGCCTTTAGCTTTCTCTGCCAAAGAGTGCTGGTTCCTCATCAAACTACAACTCCCATGATTCCATAGTGTTGAGCTATTGCAGTTAAAATGGTGTTGAACTGCATACATTTTACAGTGTTAGACCAGTGGCTCCCAACCTTTTTTTTTGACCAGGGATTACTTGACCAGGGTCCACTTTAACCAGGGACCACTCTCTAACAGTACCAAAAGAGTTACGAATCAGTTTTTGGTTAAGTTTTGGTTAGGTTATTTGTGGTGCTGATTCAGAAAGTTGCATTGGAGAGACCACATCAGCTCTAGTTTCTGATACAGGACATTTGTCATTCAGTAGTTGCCATCTGCTCGCCCACAGAAAACCATATTTAATAATCTATAAGAGGGTTTTGTGAGACCAGTCGCTCTTGTTGCCACGTGGTTTTAAGGCAACGGTGTCGTAATGGTGAGGCTATGGACCATAGAACCATAAAGTTGAAAGAGACCTCATGGGCCATCCAGTCCAACCCCATGCCAAGAAGCAGGAAAATTGCACTCAAAGCACTCCTGGCAGATGGCCATCCAGCTTGTTATTTTTCATTCTTGAGGACTACTGGTGTAGACACATCCACAGATCACTTCCTAGATGGCAAATAGCCTGCACTTCTACAGAAGACTCTAAAACTAAGATTTCTGACTCCAGTACCAGTTTCTGTCCTTCAGGAGCAGGTCTTTTGTAAGGCTAATAGCCCTTTGCAACCCAAGAAACTCTTATTACACCTCCCTTAATAATAGGGGGAAATTGTAAAATTATACTAGTAGAGGTAAAGGTTTTCCCCTGACATTAAGCCTAGTTGTGTCCGACTCTGTGGGTTGGTGCACATCTCCATTTCTAAGCCAAAGAGCCGGCGTTGTCCGTAGACACCTCCAGAGTCATGTGGCCGGCTTGACTGCATGGAGCGCCGTTACCTTCCCACCAAGGCGGTATCTATTGATCTACTCACATTTGCATGTTTTTGAACTGCTAGGTTGGCAGAAGCTGGGGCTCATGCTGCTCCACGGATTCGAACCTGTGACTCTTCAGTCAGCAAGTTCAGCAGCTCAGTTAGACTGTTTATCAGCTGAATTATACTGTTGAGAGGAAAATCTATGCTCTTGTAACTACTGTGAGAATAGCAGCCCAATTTGAAATTGCCAAATTGACAATCGCCAAGCCCCCATAAGCATGGAGCCGTGGCAGTTAAAGCGGTATCAAACTGCATTACTTTTCAAGTGCAGATGCATCCAATGAAAGCAGGAGGGAGAGTTTCCCAAAGGCAGGCAGAGGGCCATAGCAGCCAGGAAAGGTCCAGCAGGGGCGTTGCCCGCCGCAGCCAGGTGACTTAGCACAAGCTCCCTGCCCCGAGGAGCCTCCTCGCGCCTTTCCCCATCCCTTCCTTCCTTCCTTTTTCCTTCCTTACCTTCTTCATTGTGTTTTCCAAATCCATCTTGGTTCCGAGTCCAGCAGGATCCAGGGGAGAGTGCAGGGGGAAGAGGCGCCTGCTTGGCTTTCTCGCCCTGTGCCCTCCTGCTCCTTTCCTGACCCTCGGAGGCGGCTCTGCGACCAGCCCCTTCCTCGCCTCTCTCTCTCTCTCTCTTCCGCTCTCCTGCGGCTGCAGTGGGGAGGAGGGAAGGAACAAAGGAAGCGCTGCAGCCAATCAAGGCTCAGCACGGGAAGGCCCGCCAGCCAATCGCGGCGCCTTCCGAATACCTTTTTGCTCCTGCCCCGCTCCGGAGAGAGACTCCCTAGAGAGGCCAACTGGGATACAGTAGCAATTTACCCCCAGCAGTCTCCACCATAAGAAGAAATGCAGCTTGGACCTTTCCACACAGCCCTAAATCAAGGCAGAAAATCCCACATTATGAGTGTGGACGCAGATAATCCAGTTCAAAGCAGATATTGTGGGATTTTGTGCCTTGATATTCTGGGATATAGGGCTGTGTGGAAGGACCCTGGGTTATCTGAGGGCCCTTCCTCTCAGCCCTATATCCCAGAATATCAAGGCAGAAAATCCCACAATATCTGAATGTGGACTCAGATAACTCAGGGCCCTTCCACACAGCCCTATATCCCAGAAGATCAAGGCAGAAAATCCCACATTATATGAGTGTGGACTCAGATAACTCAGGGCCCTTCCACACAGCCCTACAGCCCAGAATATCAAGGCAGAAAATCCCACAATATCTGAATGTGGACTCAGATAACTTAGGGCCCTTCCACACAGCCCTATATCCCAGAAGATCAAGGCAGAAAATTCCACATTATATGAGTGTGGACTCAGATAACTCAGGGCCCTTCCACACAGCCCTACAGCCCAGAATATCAAGGCAGAAAATCCCACAATATCTGCTGTGAACTGGGTTATCTGTCATTTATCTGGCCCTCGCTCAGGTTAACCTAAGTCTGAAATTAATTGAAAGCACACAACAACAACAACAATCCTATCTCATCAGCCAAAAGCAGGCCCACACTTCCCATTAAAATACGAATACATTTATATTTGTTAAAATTGTTCATCATTTCAATTATATTGTTTTAAGTGTTTTTTGCACTACAAATAAGATATGTGCAGTGTGCATAGGAATTAATTCAAGTTTTTTAAAATTATAATCTGGCCCTCCAACAGTTTGAGGGACTGTGACCTGGTCCTCTGTTTACAAAGTTTGAGGACCCCTGGACTAGACACATATCATTCAGTTCAAAGCAGATAATGTGGATTATTTGCTTTGATAATCTGGATAATATATATATGGTAGTGTAGAAAGGGCCTTTGACTGCCCTGCCTTATGTCTGGAATCTTAGGAGTTGTAGTTTGACAAGGTCTTTAGCCTTTTCTCTACCAAAGAGTTGGTTCCTTCTCAAACTATAACTCTTCTAGGATCCCATAAGCCTTGAACCATGGCAAGTGGTATCAGACTACATGCATTCTAAGGCTGGATCCACACAGCCATATAAAATCCAGATTACTTGCTTTGAACACACTAATATGGCAGTGTAGACTCATTATCTGCTTTGATAATCTGGATTATGTGGCAGTGTAGATCCAGCCTAACAGTGTAGATGCATTGGTCCCTCTGTTTTTCCAGCTGGGCCTTTTGTAGACCCTTCTGAGAGTACATCTACACAGTAGAATTAATGTGTTTGATGCTACTTGAAATGTCATGGCTAAATACCACGGAATCCCAGGATGTGTAGCTTTGCAAGGTCTTTAGCTCTTTCTGTTAAAGAGTGCTACTGCCTCGCCAAAACTACAACTCTCACAATTCAATAGCATTGACCCATTAAAGTGGTGTCAAACTGCATTAATGCTGCAGTGTAGAGCCATTCCAAGTTTGGTGAAGCACTAGGACTCTTTGACAGTGAAGGCTAAAGACCTTGTAAAAACAGAAGCTCCCAGGATTCCATATCACTGAGCCATGGCTGTTGAAGTGACGTCAAACTGCATCCATTCTGCAGTGCAGATGCACCTTGAGAGCCATTCGTAATGAAGGAGGCATCTGATAAGGTCACTGCAAAGGTATTTGCTGACGCAGGCACAAGGCTCAGGCAATTAACTTCAGGAAGATTTGTCTCCATTTCTCTCTGCCTTTCCTGAGGGCCATGGGAGGGAAAATGAGAGCCATTTATAACAATTGCCGTGAGCCGATGGCCCATGAGCCGTAGATAATCCCCCTCGATTCATAAAGGGCTCCTGAACATCCAGTGATTTATGGCATGTAGGAAATGAAATCTCTCCCCATTTCCCTCCCGCCTTTGTCATTTTTCATATCGTCATTTTCTACATGTTGTTTGCTTTACTTTCCAGCTGCCTCCGGGAAATGAAACAAAACTGAGGCCTTGGAATGGCTGTCAACGCCATTTAGCTTTTCCAGGCCGGCCCTGCTGTTAGGCAGAGTGAGACAGAAGCCTTGGCCGGAAGGTTTTGGCTCATGATGTAAGGCCAGAAAATTGTGATTACTTCATTTGTTATTTTATTGGGTCTCTCTCCCTGCCTAATCTGCTTTAGCTGCCAGAGATGGAGAAAGGCACGGATGAGATTTTCTGACTTGTTTTGGTAGGTTTGGCCCTTTTTGTATCCACAAATTCTGCAACCACAGATTCCATCATCCATGGTTGGAAAATATTATGATATCCAAAGAGCAAACCTTGATTTTTGTTATTTTATAAGTGATACTATTGTACTGCGCCACTACATATAAAGGGATAGGCACCTGCAAATCCACCAGGGTCTTTGAACTAACCTCTAGCAGTTACCTGACCTGAGTCATCTTTGATGCTCTGCCTTAGGCAACAAATTGTATTTGGTGGTTACTGGGACTTTTTCTCATTCCCTTGAAGGATACTGCTACACTGGACACTTAGGTTTATATGAAATGAGCAGAGAAGAAAGCAATTTCACTGTGCAAATGACTGCATGTTGTCTTGGAATTGGTTCAAAGCCTGGATGGTGCTGACACATTGCAGAGACTGGCTTCAAAACCGTTCCATGATCTCAGTATCTGCAGCTTGACAGCCATATAGAAATTATGTTCTTTATTTGGTTTCACCGAATACACTTATTTGGTTTCACCAATTACACTTATTATTGTTCTTATGATTATTATGTTTATTTATACACTGCTTTTTTTCTCCACAAGGAGACTCAAAGCAGCTTACATTAAAAGCATTCCCATACTATGTCCATACTTAGGCACACTTGTGTGCATTATGGGCACTCTTTCAGAATATCCCCCAACTTTGCTTATCCTGGTTTAAAGTCTTTAATGTGCATTGCTGTGTGTGTTCATGGCATACGTCAATTAAACACTGTGCTGTCAAGCTATCTTCAAACCACCTTATGTAGCCAGTGTACTTACTTACTTAGGTGACCCCACATTGTCCGAGTAAGATTGTCCTCCAAGTGCAGTGTCCTGGCAGTGGGTACGTAGGTGACTGTGGAGTCCTATTCTTGACCTGCATGTTATCCTGAAGTGAAGGAATCAGTTTCCAGATGGAAGGTGGTCCCAGACGCGCCTTCCTCTTGGCACATTTCTCTCTTTCGCCCTCCATTTGTGCCTCTTCAAATTCTACAACATTGCTGGTCACAGCTGACCTCCAGCTAGAGTGCTCAAGGGCCAGAGCTAGCCATCATCACCCTATCAAGGTATCACCCTTCTAGCCTCCACTGGGAAATTCCTTGCAAGAATCCTTGCAAATCACCTTCTACCTCTCTCGGAAGACACCCTTCCAGAATCCCAGAATGGCTTCCGGCCCTCCAGAGGAACAGTGGACATGATCTTCACTGCACAACAGCTTCAAGAAAAATGCAGGGAACAAAATCAACCTCTGTACATGGTATTCATTAACCTTGCAAAGGCATTTGACACAGTGAATCATAGTTCTCTCTGGGCCATCCTCTAAAAAATCGGGTGCCCTGACAAATTTGTGAACATCTAGCGGCTCCTCCACAATGACATGATGGCAACAGTCTTGGACAGCAATGGCTCCCAAAGTGACCCATTTAAGGTGTGTAATGAAGATGCCACCACTTTGTGAAGAAGCCACCAGTTTGTATGGGCTTATCAAATTGTTAGCATAGCTAATAGCTAATAATATTGATTTGGTCTTTCTTCAATGTGTAGCATGACTTAACTTGGAAAGGATTTGTAACAGAGACCAGGCTTTATAAGAAACTGTAACAAGTTTATTGAAATGTAGCAGAAGCTTGATGGTTTCAATGTTTCTTGACTCTTAGAGGAACATATCTTCAGAGGTTACATTTATAACATTCCTTAAAACAACTCTGGAAAGGACTCTTCTACTAAACAGGTTTCAAACTTATTTTTCTTCAAACTGTGTTTCTTTCTTTAATAGATTACTTCCGATACAAGCTTATTCTTTCTTTGTGATATTTCTGTTGTAATAAAGATTCTCACTGGGTTTCTCTCCCCTTTTTTACTCACACACTAACTACTAATATAAATAAGTCGACTTATCTAAACTACCTAGGCTAAAAGCCAAAACCTTCCTGATTCTCAGTACAGTAGAACCAGCCTTTCCCTGTAGTTTTTAAACTATAGTCTAACTTCCTGGTGCTCTCTACTACAGAACCAGCCACTCCTGCAGTTCACAGACTACAGACTGATTGTTTTAAAATGGCTGTCCTGCCAAGTGGCAGTTGGCTCCATCCCTTTTCCATGTCAACCCCGCTCAAAGTGAGCTGAGCTGGCTACCATTCCCCCCAGATATGCAACTTTAAATACTTACCCTTTCAAACACATATCTATAATTATACATAACTGCATGTTAGAATTCACACTTCACCACAAGGTGTAATCAGGTGTCAAACAGGGATGTGTTATTGCTCCAACCTTATTTTCCATCTTCATTGCTATGATACTTCATCTTGTTGATGGGAACCTTCCCACCAGAGTGGAAATCATCTATTGGACAGATGGCAAGCTATTTAATCTCAACAGACTGAAAGCCAAGACCAAGGTGTATATATGTGCTTAATCCTGTGCTTCTGCTTCCCATGCATTTGTACTCTGAATCAAGCTCCACTGACTCAGAGAAAGCTGATCCCAAAAGTAATTGGACAACCAATTCTAAAGAAGGCGTCCATGGATTCCTCTATATTAAA